CACTTTGATTAATTTACTTCGTCATCACCCAATCATGAAAGCAGTTCAATCAATGTAAGTCTTCTCTGCCATTATCTTTCTATATAGATTCTAGTATACAGAAGAATTTGAGCAACCCTCTGTATCTTTCAATCCATCGAGTCAGGGTTGTTGGTATGGCGGCGTACTATAATGGCGCTAGGAATAGCATAGTGATTGTTTCAATACAGTTAATAAGAAGATTGGAGCGTCCATTCATCCAACTTCTTTGACATGAAGCAGATATGAGAATGAGTTGAATTGTTATAGTCTGAAGGTTATAATTTGCAGAATCCTGGCCAGGGAAATTGGCATGAGACGATTACTGCTACTGGTTCCATATTGAGAGGTAGAGTTTCAGACGAATGTTTTCTTGCAAATGTACATTTTCATCAAATGGGGAAAGAAAATAGAAGTGCATAAACCATAAAAAAAGGTATGGAAGTGTAGAGTATGAGTTTACGATGTACAGTCAATTGTGTTTCAACTTTCGAGTTGCTTGCTTCGCAAATCTGCGCATTTGTGTTCAAAAGGATTTCGGTTCTTCTTGCCCACAGGTAGACTTTGAAAACAATTTCGTGATGATGATAGAGGTTGTCTTGTGCACTTGCATTGTATTAGTAAATGAAGGTGGATCTCTATTAATCGCCTAGTTTAATCATACTGCATCTGTGTTTTGCATGCATCTGTGATTCTGTTCTGGGACGAACTGCTGCACTATTCCTTCTGCTTGACGTACATTATGTTCAACATGTTTCGATGCTTTGTTATACTCGTTAAGTGTTCCCTCATTGTCTGAACATTTAACCGCCACACTGCTACACTAGTGACAGTGTAACTGTGCATATTCCACATTCCACCTGTCTATTGTGCTCTGTTCAAAATTAATGTTTTGGTCACTTTGCTGCTTAGAGCTGGAAGATCGCTCGGAGAGTACACCTTCTTTGATGTAAAAAAGGTCCTAACTTTTTCTATTTGAGCAACTAACTTCCCCTTCTCCGTTGGCTAGATTCTATATCGTCTTGATTGTTCTCAACAGGGGAACTCTCAGGCCATGATCTTGGATACCAGTGAAGAACATTGTTACCAGTCAGAAATCTTATTTCCGAGGCCAGTGCTCAGTGTCCATGTGATTTAATCCATCTTAATTCATTTCCTTGTAACAAAAAAAAAGGAGAAAATAGAGGTTCGGTGATGAGCGGCATGTGGTGTTGGATTTGTAGCTTGGTTTGGAAGGAACGTTGTAGGCGTGTCTTTGGAGAAGCTCCAAGGCCATGGGAGGTTGCCTTCTTGCAGTTGAGGGAAGAAGTATGAGTGCTAGCACAAGGGGATGTAAGGTTTAAAGATGCAGTTACGCATAGTAGAGTGATAGGAAGTCTCAATTTACACTTTTGATTTTTCGTACTTTCTACTGTAAGATGTAAATCTGAGTTTTTGTGCGACTTGATAGTGATCAAGTGAGCTTAATGAAAGGACTAATTACCGAAAAAATGAAATAAAATATTTTTAATGACGTATGTAAAACAATTTAGTAAACCTAGTGACCATATTCGCAATTTATCCCTTAAAGTTGGGCGTTACTATTGGTCGCCCTAATAATTTAAATTTATCCCCCTAAATCAAATGAAATTACATTGTTACCCTTTTGTTATAATTTTTCCTGCGGAAGTTAACAAAATCAAGAATGGACGGTAAGTCGGTAACCCATTCGACCCGGCCCATGATCAGATAGGTCGCATGCCCGCCCCGACGCATCGCCGACCGTTCGTCAGAAGTGCGGGTTGCCCGCCCTGATCCGTCGTCACACGTGTGACCTGCCTCTATCGCCTGCTCGTCGGACGGGTTTAAATCCCGGTGGCGGCTCTCTTCGTCCTTCTTCTGACAGAGCAAGGTGGCGGCAAAGGAGGTGCAGCAGAGGTGGTGGCAGGTCGGACTCCTTCGTTCTCAAGCTGGGAAGCGCCGGCTTCCTTCTTGTTTTGATATTCCTCCGGTGCAGTGAAGGCGTCGAAAAAGATCAAGTAGTCGCTCGGATGGACAGTGATGTACGCTTGGTGGGAGACGATCCTTGAAGCGGCGACGGACACAAAATTGTTCTGGTGCAATTTTGTGTTCATAATTGAGGGGAATGTGATTCTGGTGTGATGAGAGGTTGAATCGGTTGTTGAAATTGAGAATTTTACAGTGGGGATGTTCTTTCATGGTTTGCTCTGTAATTGAAATTGAGAAATTGATCAGCAGCACATAAGTAGCAGCGATAGCGAGCTGGGCGGTGGGGGTCGGGGTTGGATCGCTTGCCGCCGCCAACATAAACGCAGCGACAGCGAGGTAGGTGGCAAGATTCTGGTTCTGGGTGGGGTGGGTAATTAACGGCGCCTATCTGGGATGGGGATGATTTGAAAATGATCAGGGATGGATTGGTGGGAGCGGAAGAGGTGGGCGGCGGCAGGCGGGGTAGGGTTGAGGTGAGAATTTGCTCAAGTTTCGTTACAAAATAGATACTGAAGGGTTAAAGGTCTTCCTAGAAATTACTAATCGTCGTCCTAACTTAATACGTAAATTACTTAATTACCCTTTTGAAAATTCAAAAACAAACCCTACACAAACAAACCTTCAGCAGCCGAGACAAACCCTCCCCTTCCCTCTACCCGATTGCCGACTTCCCCAGCAGTAGAGACCCGCCGCCCCAGCCCCACGCCGGCGGCCCACCGCCCCAGCAGCCCCACGCCGGTGACCCGCCCAGCTAGCCGCTCCCCCGTCGCCGTCAGCCGCCTCCCAAGTCGCCGTCAGTCCGCACTCCCTCGCCGTCCGCCGCGCCTCCACTCGCCGTCGCCGTCAGCCCCTCCTCCAGTCGCCTGCCGTCCGTCCTCGCCAGAGAAGAAGGTAAGTCTGCCGTCCTCGCCATTCATCGACCGAAGCCGCCGTTCGATTGGCCATCGGTCAAACCGACGTCAACGTTCGGTTGGCCTTCGGTCAAACCGAAGTCAACATTCGGTTGAGCCATGGTCAAACCGAAGTCAACTTTCGGTTGAGCCATGATCAAACCGAATGTTGACTTTGGTTGGACCATGGTCAAACCGAACTCAATTTTTGGTTGGTTTGATTTTTAAATAATTTTAATGCAATTAATTAATAAAAATTGTTATTAAATATTGTAAATTAAGTAATAATTAGAAATAATTGTATTTAATTATAAATAAGTTGTACATTTTATAATTAATTATAAAAATTAAATTCGAATAGTTTTATGAATTCAATTATGAAAAAAATATTGTGAATAATGTATTAAAAATTATCTGAAATTTTTAAAAAGTATCAAAATTTAGGAATATAATCTGTAAATTTGTAATTAATGTTAAAAAAATATTAGAATAATGGGAAAATTAAAAAGTAGTCGAAATTAGACAAAAAAACTAAGAAAGTTGTAATTAATGTTAATAAATTATCAAAAGGTTACAAAAAAGTTAGAGAAAATTATCAAAAAATGTTAATGCATTTGATTATCATTAATTGTAATTTTTTTTTTGAAGATGTCTGGACATGGAATAGGCAAACCGTACATGAATAAGAAAAGAATGGAAGAAAAAACGGAAGGAAGAATGGAAGGTCGTGCTTGTAGACTTACAGCGACCGGTAGAAAAGAAAATGAAGAAAAAAATCCACGTAAGGTTAAGGGGAAGAAGAAGAAGGAGGAAATAGGGCGTCCCAACGGTCGCCCTACTATGGGACAGTTATCTCTTAGTCGAGGTACTACCTCCACCCCTACTCCTGAGGATGCGACGCCGTGGGAGGCTAATTGGAGTGATTCAGTTTCTATGGACGACGACGATGATGATGATGATGATGAGGTGGCTGTTGATGAGGCTAGGGATGTCCCACCTGAATCTGATGTAGGCATCGGTAAGAAGAGACGAGTTGGGACATCTTCTATAGCTTCTTCGCACTTTCCACAGCATGGGCTAGATGGACGCTACGTTGCGAGACGTAGTAGTGAGGAAGACGGTGATGGTAAGAAGAGGAAGAAGGGAGTAAGGGGGAGGAAGAAGGGAGTAAGGGGGGACATGTCGTGGCGTCTGACATCGGAGTCTCAGATGTGTTCAGGTGGACCTGTGATTCCCGATGTGATCCCTAGCTTTGGAGGTCACATTGCCTTTGCATTGTGGACTTCCCCAGCGCAGGATCGTGGGTTGTTGGATTGTTGTCATAGATCTGGTAGTGTGGAGTCTTTGAGGAGATATGAGTGGAGTTCAGAGGGTTCTTAGAAGGTGGTTGAGGGCACAGGATTGTCCCACTTGGCAGGGTGTATGATGCAGCATTTAGATACATCTTTGATAACGGCATTTGTGGAGAGATGGCAGCCGGACACGAACACCTTCCATATGCCATTTGGAGAGATGTCGATTCTTCTCCACGACGTGCATCACATTCTTCGTATTCTAGTTGAGGGGGAGCTTATGAGAGATGATCCGCATCCAGATCTTCTTAAGTTAGACATGCATGATCTAGTTCGGGTCCCGGTGGATGGTCCTGTTGGTGGTAAGTGGAAGTCGAAGTGGTTCCTTAATGGTGGTATACACGCAGAGGGATTGTTGGTGCGTGGACGAGAAATGAAGATTAGGGACCTGGAGGTGCAGACTTACTTGTTTGTGTTGTTGGGATCCACACTTTTTGTGGATAAGAGTCGCGATCGCCTCCGTCCTGCGATCAATGTATTTCTGAAGGACCAGCGACGAGTGGCCGGTTATGCCTGGGGAGCTGCTGCACTCGCCTATCTCTACAGACAGCTACGGATGGCCACACGAGTGGGGAGTAAGAGTATTTGTGGTTGTTTGACTCTGCTTCAGGCGTGGATATATGAGTACTTTCCACTCTTCCGTCCGAGCCAGATTCTCTAGGCTGCAGATGCTCCTCGTGCTTCCTCGTGGGTGTGTCACCGCTTTGCAGGTGGTGATGATGCTAGACAGCGCTTGGTACGGTATCGAAAGATGTTGGATGAGATGTCAAGGGAGGATGTGTCTTGGACTCCTTACGGGCGAGATGCTGGCACGGAGGTACTACGCTCTTTGTATACTGGTGTCATTCGCTTTGCTGACGTTACTGAGGGTTATGATCCTGCACGGAGTCGCCGACAGTTTGGGTACCGACAGACTATCCCTCGTACGATGATGGTTCCCAAGGATGTGTACCGCCCATCTTCTTGCAGCACCTACATCGTTTTCTGGGAGCGTAGCATGGATCAGTTATGGGGCAACTTGCCGTCTCATTTTCTACACATAGCGATTGATTCTGACTTGTGCGAGTATCCATCTGAGGCCGATGAGGATTACATGGACTGGTACCGGACTCGATCGCACCCACGGATCATCAATCCGGACTCTGGTGGAGTGTCTCTACAGCGGCCAGTGCTAGTCGATGAGGTTAGTTATGTCATAATTGTTCAATTTTTAATGTATTGTTAATATGCTTTTTTTTCATTCATGACATTATTTTTGTATTTACAGTTGAGGAAGCAGATTGTGGAGAAGCTTGGTCCTGTGTTGGCGGTGAGGGACAAGGATCACTATGTGGAGCATGCATCTGAGTACTACGATATGATGAGTGAGGTTCACGAGTTGTATGACCAGTTAGTCGGAAAGACTCCTTAGTGGAGTGTGGCATTTCTAGATTGTTATCCTTGTACTTTATTTTTATTTGGAATTGCTAGTTTGACTTTGCCCGTGAGATGATCTAACTTTTGGAATTTTCAGATGATTGGAGTTTGTTTCTTTTCCATATCTAAAATAGTAAATCAAGAGTTGCATCAAATACAATAACTACAACTATATCTAACCATCAACCGGCTGGGTTTAATCTATCATAAAATTGGCATTCTTGTGAGAAGAATTGGTCCCAACCATGGACACTAGGATCATGATAAATAGGCCACAGCCCATTAATTGGAGGCAATGGCACTTGACCAGGTCGAAAGTCAAGACGCACCCAATGACATCCCGTAAAATGTAGTGATACGATCCCACGTGGTCTTGTTACTCCTGGTGGGGCAATCACAGGTAGCACGGTATAACTACCACCTTGACTATAGACAGCAATTACCCATGAATGCAATGTGGCAAAGACGAAAAGCTCCACATTATCCATCCAGTGGGTAACGCCACAACCACGATCTTGAGTCCACCTGCAACGCCGAAGCCCATTATCTATTCCGTCGGAAATTCCATCGTAGTATGGTCTGTAAAGCTCAGGTCGGGCTTCAAGCTCTTCTACAACGACGCGTCTCATCTGCAACCAATTGTTTTGGGACCCGGTAAGTGCTTGTGATATTGCTCGAAATCCGCAATGTCCATCCGGTTCTGGGTTGAACCAACCACGAATGTATGGTTGCACGTAAGTTTCCAAACAATACAACCACGGGTAACTCCGCCAACCAGTATTGGGAGTCCTGATAACCCTCCAAGGGGCACCATCTGTCCCAAAATACACAACACAATGAATTAATACAAGATGTATACAACATCTAATCATCTAAAATAGGGACACTACTTCTAACCTGTATCATTATGAATATCCGGCTCCGTCCCATTCGTATTTGTGGACTCGAAGTTGGTGTCTGCATCAGGGATACCACCTAATATCATTTACAAAAATAAGTTAGTTATACATCATATTCTACACAATTGAACATAAATTTCCCAAAAAGTACAACCTACCTGTCCTCTGGTCATTGTCCGGTGTTGTGGTCGAAGGTATCGAACTTCTCCTGCCCCGTCTCCTCTCCACATGCTTGAAATGAGATAGGTTTCGCGTGGTGGATGTCCTCGGGCGTCCGGGTCGGGGATGCCCCCCATGCGGCTCATTAATGCCATCATTTTCAGGATGAAGATGACTCCGAAGTAGGCCAATAGCCCCTCGAATGGTCTCATCTCCCCTATCAAGAACCTCCTATACTAGACCTTGGAAGACATCACGATGGTAAAGACTATCGTCATCCCACTCTGCCCGAGTAGGAGGTTCACGATAGTTCATAATGGTCCAAAAAGCTAACACCTCATATGGGGCAATGTCCCGCTTTTCAGAACGTGCTAACTGCATTGCACATCTACATGGGAGACCAAAGATAGCAGGAAACGTACATGTACAACTTGCTCCTTCCACTGATACCTCAATGAGCATCAACCTCATAGCCTGTAGAGTCCTTAAGACATATATCAAAACCAGTTGCGGAAGAGCAGCTGACGTTTGTATGCAACTCCCGAAATGGTCTTCCGTCCGCTAGTAACATCTTCTTTAATCTAGAATCCTCTAGAAGCTTTTGGATTTGAAGATGTTGAGCCTCAATGTAATCATGGTTCTTCTTATAAACCTACAAACAAAGAAAGAAAATTAGGATACTAGATTAAGTAAAACTTCTAAAGAAGACATAAATGAAAATTTATTAAGAGACTAACCGTGCCGATTGCACCAGTTGCTGATTGAAGCCACTTCTTGAAGGATGAATGAGCAGATTCAACCCGATTTAAGCTTGTATTACCCAAATGTCGCACTTGGTTTGTATAACATGTTGCCCACATGTGCTTGTTTGGTAACCACTCATGTGACAAGTACCTCCAAAGACGTGGATACTGTACTCCCCAACTACGCCTGAAACTGTCTAAAGCTCTATTCATGCCTTCCTCACTGCCGGCATATACAATCCTTTTCCAAGACGCCATGATCAGATCCACTGTCGGTTGGGCTGCATCTATTCTACAATGAGACGTCCTCCTCACCTCCGTTAGACACCGTGCTCTCACATTCCTGTCTACATGCCAAAGGCATAGTATATGAGTGGATGATGGAAACATTACCCCCACGGTCTCAACCAATCCTCCTGCTTTGTCACTAACAAATACATCTGGAGTGATAGAGCCAAACAAATGTTGCAGATGCATGAGAAGCCACTGGTACGACTCTTTTGTCTCATCATACACTAGCGCAGATGCAATGACAAAGTTCAATCCCACCGGTGTCATGCCAACCATCTCAACCCATGGAAACTCATACTTGTTGGTCTTGTATGTTGCATCTATCACAATGACATGGTGCCAAGCTCGCAACATCAATATTGACTTAGGGTGGGCTAGGAACAAGTGTGTAAGCACGTTACGGTCATCCACATACTGCACATAGTAACCCTTCTCCCGAGCATCTTGAAAAGTGTACTGTAAGGCCGTCCTCTGACCAAGCTCTTCTTTTCTTATCTTATACAATGCGTTAGAAATCTGTCTTTTGTTCACCTTTCCATGCTCCTCTTTTCTCTCGTTCAATGCCTTGTGGATATTCCTTGGGGCGACACCGGCTAATCTCAGTTGTCTGATGTATTGCTTATCATCTTCGGTCAAAACATTCCTCTTACTTGATCCATTCGGAAATAGCTCCAGCGGATGATTGTGAAAACCCAAATTAGCACTAGGATTCTTTGTATTAGCCACTGCTAGTATCAACCAATATTCATCATCTGACCGCTCAATCTTGATCTGAAATTCACACCCCAACTTTCCAGAAGACGTAAGAGGCCTCCTTTCCTTAGCCGGATCAGAATCAGGAGCCTTCGATTTTTTCTTCCTACCATGAGTGCACTTCAAGTATCGTCGCCTACTATCTTCATTTGGATTTTTTTATTTGATGCCTTCACCAAATAAAACCCAAAACCCTTGGCAATCTCAGTAGCTGTTGCATATGCAATCAAATCCGTATCGTATTTTACTCCATTGACGAATTATGAGGTGAAATCTTTGTCATCCCCTCCGTAATCATCAATATCCTACAATGTTAGATCTCATGATATAAGTAGGACTCCACAATAATAGAAAATCTAACGACTACATTTAATTTAACAATTATCACAAATAATTTAGCATTCTGAATATTCTCCTAAGCAAAATCCAACATTTAACATGACAAAATTTAGCATTCTCTATTATTTACATAAGAATCATATTAATCACATTCTAGAATTTTTTTATTGCGTATTATACATCTAATCTTAATTTTGTATACAAAAACATTCAATTTCACAAATAATTAGGCTCGTAAATTTTAAAAATAATATAAACTAAAATTCAACAAACAATCATATAGACCAAACTATAAATCATAACAAAAAAATAGAAATATTTGATATAAACTTAAAAAAACCCAAAAGCCACCAACCGAAGCAAATTTTCGGTTCCACCATGGCTAAACCGAAGCCAATTTTCGGTTTCACCATGGCCTAACCGAAGGCAGGGTTCGGTTCTACCGTGGACCAACCGAAACCAATTTTCGTTTCACCCATGGCCCAAACGAAGCAGATTTTCGGTTGAACCATGGACCAATCGAAAATCACATTCGGTTGATAATTTTTTTTTTTTTAAAACGAGATTTTTACCTCGTCGGAGTCGCTACTCATTGTTCGGACGTATGCTCGACGATTTCGGCTTCCAAATGTCGATGATGAATTCGAGAGTGTGAGAGAATGAGTGTTTTTTGCTTTCTAAGTGAAAGTGATGTTTGTTTGCTAAAGGAAAGGTAAAGGTGTTAAAAGGGTAAAAGTGTAACTTTGTTGTTTTTTAGGACGATCATTAGTAATTGTTAGGACGACCTTTATCAACTCCCAATAAATATAGGGGTAAAAGGATCAGTCTGGTACAGTTTAGGGCGATTTTCTTAAAAATTTAGGACAACGAATAGCAGTTCACTTAAAGATTAGTGGCAAGTTTGTAATTCAGCACGGAATTTAGAAAAGTAACTACACCGTTTCTTAACGCTGATCTTGACAAAGAAATTGAAGTTGTGACTTGTGAGCGCCAAATTCCGTCCAAGGGACAAAAAAAATCCCTAGTTTTCCTTTACTCGACAGCCGCTGCTGCTTCTGCATCTCCTCACGCTGGCAGGCCGCCGTTGAGCACTCGCCAGTCGCCACCGGACACCGTAGTTGAAGAAGCAATACCAGTTCCTCCACCGTACGCTACCTCGGTTCAATTGCCTCTGTAAGATTCTAACCCCTCCGCCGCCGCCTCTTCAGTCGCGGAGACGGTGACTTCAGCTTTCAAAGATAAAATTCCTTTTTTCTTATTTCTTTGTCTGGTAGATTTTTCGTTTAAGTGGTACCAGGTGTTTTCATTTTTTTGTTTTTGTTTGATTCACTTGATTTCCTCCCATTGACAGACCAAGCACCCAGTGCGCATTGTCATTTTTTCAAGTTTTCAGTTATATTGTATAAATTTTTAAGCTTGTAGGCGCTCTAAGATACAGTAGCTATTCGGTTGATTTGAGGTTTATCCGTGTAATTTGTAGCTAGTCGATTGATTGAAGAATTTGATACAAATAGATATGCATGTAGGCTGGAGCTATTTGGTTTTGTATGGTGCTGCTGGTAATATCTATTTTAGTAAGGGACATGATATATCCGCTTAGGCTTAATATGATGTTGAGTTCTTCATAGGTTGATATGGCATTACTGTAATCCTAGTTCAATGGTATACCTTAAATCGTTAACTTGGTTGACAGTCTCTAGTACAGTTTCACAACCCTTGGTTTCTTATCCCTCGTTTTGCGGTTTTGCAGCTAGATAAAACCGAGATTTCTTGCATTGTATTAGTAAGTGAAGTTGAATCTCTATTAATCAACTAGTTTAATCATACTGCATCTGTGTTTTGTATGCATCTGTGATTCCTTGTTCTGGTTGGTACCGTTGTACTATTCCTTCTGTTTGATGAACATTATGGTCAACATGTTTCGATGCTTTGGTATGCTCTTTAAGTGTTCTCTCATCGTCTGGACATTTAATTGCCGTAATCTGTTACACTGAGCTTCACTAGTGACAGTGTAATTGTGCCCCCACCTGTCTCTTGTGCTCTTTTCAAAACTATTGTTTTGGTCACTTTGCAGGTTAGAGCTGGAAGATTGCTCAGAGAGTACACCTTCTTTGCTGTAAAAAAAGGTCCTAACTTTTTCTATTTTGCAATTAACTTCCCCTTGTCCGTTAGCCAGATTTTAAACCTTCTTGATTGTTTCTCAACAGGGGAACTCTCAGGCCATGATCTTGTGATATCAGTGAAGAACAATACTACCAGTCAAAACCCTTAACTCCGAGCCCCAGTTATCTGTGTACATTTGTTATTTAATCCATCTTCTTTTGGAGTTTGAGAACAAGTATGCGCGCATTGGCCCTTTTGGGCCAGCGCATGTTCTTTCAAGTTATTGCTCAAACAACTTGCATTATTCGCCTACCCCTCTGCAGTGCTCCGTACTGTTCCGTCCTTTTCTATGCTAAAGCAACTGATATTTCCTCGGCAAAAGTCTTGGAGGCAGAAGCTCAAGAAGAGCAACCACCAAACTCTCTATCCTTAAGAATAGAGAAGCTCCCAAGAGGAGTGCCTGTTGGATCTGCCTTCCAAAGCTGGATGGGTGAGGGGTTCCCAGTTCATAGGGGAGATATCTTTCATGCAATGAATCGGCTCAGGAAGTGTAATATGAACAAACGTGCGGTTGAGGTAAGTACATGCTCTCTTTCTTCCTGAGGACTCTTCTTATTTGTTTAGGATAATGCTAGTTTTAGTCCCCATACTATTGTGTTATTCCTATCCTACGATTTTAACAAAATGTTGCTGAACTTTATCGTTTTGTTAGTGTTTTAGTTCCTCTTTTAAAGATTTCATCTGAATCAGTTACAAGCATGATTGATCATGATTCAAAGCACGTCTCAGATGACTCAAGTATACTTGAAATTCTTGTTTTGCCACTTAATTTGACTCTGAAATTCCACAACTTTCATTATTGTGATGCATTCTTCATTTGGAGGGAGAATTTATGATATATTGTCTCTATCGCAATTTCACTGATCCGTTTATTCTTTACTTAATATACTATTATTGATGGAAATTGAGATAGGTGATGGAATGGGTAATCAGGGAAAGACCATACAGGCCAAAGGAACTCGACTACTCTTATCTCCTGGAGTTCACGTGCAAGCTTCATGGGGTACCTCATGCCGAGAACCTCTTCTCTCGTGTCCCACCCGAGTTCCAGAACGAGTTGCTCTACAACAACCTCGTAATCTCCTGCTTGGACAAAGGAGTCCTGAGGCTCTCCCTCGATTACATGAAGAAGATGAGGGAATTAGGGCACCAAATCTCGTACTTAGTCTTCAATCGCCTGATCATTCTCCACTCTTCCCCTGGCCGCAGGAAATTACTCCCTAAACTCATGTCCCAAATGAGGGCCGACAAGGTGGCACCACACGCCTCCACATACAACATTCTGATGAAGATCCAAGCTAGTGAGCACAACATAGAAGGCCTGTTGAAGGTATTTGCTGACATGAAACGATCACAAGTAGAGCCGAATGAGATCTCATTCTGCATATTAGCCACTGCTCATGCTACAGCAAGACTGTACACTGCTGCTGAAGAGTACGTCGAAGCAGTGGAAAAGTCTCATACAGGGAAGAATTTGTCAACGCTGGATGTTTTGATCGTGTTGTATGGTTATTTGGGGAAGGAGAAGGATCTCGAGAGAATATGGGGAATTAAACAAAACCTCCCTCGTGCTAGACCCAAGAGTTATGTCCTAGCAATTGAAGCCTTTGGCCGAATTGGGTCAATTGGTCGAGCAGAGGGGCTCTGGTTAGAGATGAAGTCACGACAGGACCTCAGTTCGACCGAGCAATTCAATTCGATCTTATCCGTGTACTGCAGACACGGGCACGTCAAAAGGGCCACTGCCATTTTCAGAGAAATGGAGGCTAGCGATGGCTGCAAACCGAATGCAATAACTTTCCGACATCTCGGGTTGGGTTGTTTGAAAGCCGGGCTGGTCGAGGAAGCCTTGAAGACTCTTGAGATGGGGTCGAAGATGAGAGCGACTAGCGGAGTCAGGAACTCGACACCATGGCTGGAAACGACCCTTGCTCTCGTGGAGGCTTTCGCGGAGAAGGGTGATGTGATGAATGCCGAGAAGTTGTTTGGGGAGCTTGGAAAGGCCAAGTATATAAGGTATACTTTTGTGTATAATACTCTGATAAAGGCTTATGTGAAGGCCAGAATGTATGATCCGAATCTGTTGAGGAGGATGATTTTAGGAGGTGCTAGGCCTGATGCTGAGACCTATAGCTTATTGAAACTTGCGGAGCAGTTTAGTAGTAGCTAGTAACTGAGCTCTAGCCATTATGGCGGCTCTGTTGTATTTGTAACATTGTATTATTTTTCCATGTCATTGAGATGGGTTCTATCTTCTCTCACTACTGCAGTAAATGATGATGATGATAACTTGATAAGTAGGCAAATCTAACTCAAATGTATTTTGGAGCCAAAACTTCAGGCTTGATACAGCAAAATCATAGATTGATAACCAAAAAATTTCAATCTTTCTTTGTAGTTACTACTTATTGATCTACAGACTCCCAAGTCCTACAGAACAATAAACTTCTCGTCTCCAACCATCCACCTTTGTGTTAGATTATTGTATTATAAGAACACTCACCTTCAGTCTTTCCAACCATCCACCGTTGATCAATCCTGTGTGCGGAATGTCATATGACATACCAAAACCAATCAGTAATTTAATCTGTCTTTCTTCAACATAAACTGTGGTTTTCAGCCCAATCCGAAACGGACTGACAGGATGTGCAAGTCCTGCATGTCAGCCCAGTCTAGAACAAAGACCGTGTCTGTGATGTGATGTCTTCGTCTCGAAACGACAGCGTTCAATGTCGAGCCGGTAAACTTTTGGCCTTCTGGTGGGCGGCAAACATCAGGCGCGGTTAAACTTCAAGTTGGAGCCTGGAAGAAGGCGGCAACCGCCTTCTGATGCAAGATAGAGCGGTGACCCAGTTTGGCATTTTCCCTAAAGCATAGAAATCAGTTGGTAATCGAAGAGTGTTGTTACTGCTTGAGAAATGAAGTGGTCGTTGCGATTGTAATGTGTTTTCTTCTTATATTGATTCATTGATTTACTGTTGCTCACTGGACACCTATATTTTTGTAGTTACAAGTTCCAGAAATCCCGCTGTCTGATCTGAAGGAGAAGGCCATCATGGGGTTGTACAGTTCAGTCCCTCTGCGAGGTTTGTTCCTTTTTCTACTGGAGATATATATGCTTTGGCTCTATAAATTTCAATTACAGTAGGGTTAAGGGTGGCCTGTCCGATGATTAGTTTATTGGTGTTGCTTAAACAATGTTTAAGTGGGGGATATAGGAATAGAATGAGTCCTAAAGTTACAACCTCGTGGTAGTGGAGATTTCCCGCATCACTTGTCGAGGGCATCGATTTTCTGTGCAGCAAAGAGAAGGTGTTGTCTCTTCGGTGATATCACATGATATTGGAACGAGACTCGATACATAGAAGATTAACATGACCCTGCGCAAGGATGACACGCATAAATCGAGAATCTTTTGCCCTCCTTGTATTTCTGCATCCTCCCACAGTAGCCAGTTTGTAATTTGTGTTTGAAATGGTAGTGCTGCTTAGATTTAGCAGCAGGCATTATCTAGTTGCTATACTTCTACTGGAGCCAGTTATTCAATAAACTCTATTCATCTTGCTGTTAACAACTGGAGATGATCTTAGTTACTGGAAGTGATCAGTTCAGTTAGTCATGCTCTTGTAATCTGCTCAAGTAGTTCAATTGTTCAGTACCTGTGTCTCCATGTGGAGCATTGCTTGTGTTAAAGACTTAAAAGTCAATTATCAAGTTCCTACCCTTCTACTACATTTCAATTAGCCAAATAGGTCTGCTCATCCTGTGGAAATTCGCAACTGGAGAATGGCTGAAAGCAGTTGGTTTGGTAAATTAGAGAAGAAGCCATATGTTCTCTATTCATGATTCTGCCTGCTTGATAGAGACAAGGGAGAAAAAAGATGCTAATATGTCCAGGTTGGTTCGATTGGTCGCTTACTTGTGCTTATGATATGCATCTGTTCCTTGGAAATTGATTGGTCAACCAAACTTAACCTTCATCAACAGTTTCCTGGATATCTCGAATCATTGCAACTACTCCCCCATTCTCGCTGCTGAAACTCTATGGCTTTATTCTTTGGACCAGACATGGAAGGTGCTGAAAAATGCAATTCAAGGTCTTTACGCAAGTTTGAGACTCTCCTTTTACAAGTTTCCTGATTTGATGATCTCCTTTTGTTCACATTCAGAAGCTTGCAACATCTAGTTGGGGAAGGACCTGGTTCTGAAACTATGGGTTGTCCTCATAAGTAACAGCGCTGAAGGTATGCCTTTTCCTTCTTGCGTTTACCATAAAGTAATAGACCTGGGTCTTTTGGCTTTACGACTTGGGAAGTACGGGAGAGTTGGGCATTCTGGTTCTTCTGCTGCATTTAGTTTGTTAGTTAGACTTGCTTTTTAGCAGTTCCTTTTTCCTGTTTGAACTATCCTTATTAAGATTTACTAGGAGGGAGGGAGGGAGCATAGAGTCATAGAAGCCTTCTTCCTTTTCACAATGTACCACATCACTTGTCTTCAGTAGGAACCCAGCATTTATAAAGCCATGTGAAACTAACACTACTGTCCCTTCGGGGACATCCGATAAAATTGGAACGATACAGAGAAGATTAGCATGGCCCCTGCGCAAGGATGACACGCATAAATCGAGAAATGGTCCAAATTTTTTTTTCATCATCCCGATCTTTGGCCTTTACATTTTTTTTCCGGCTTGTTATGGACTTTTGGAGTTATGCTGTGAATTTTTGCCAAAATCAAACTGCTAGACATCTGTTGGATTCAGCTATTCAATAAATCTAATCACCTATGGAGCAAACAACTGGAGTGTAAGCATTGTAACAGAGGTGGATTCAGCTATTCAATAAAACATTAGTTGTAGTCACATAATCTACTGAGCAGTTCAGTAATACTGTTCATATGTAGAGCTCACAAATGTCGAGGGTTCTTAACTATCTGCTGAGGCTATATCAGTCTGTTAGCCAAGTCTACACATGTGCAACTAGTGTGTTTCCCTATTGAAATCTTACAAGTAACAATACAAAGCAGGGGGGTTCTGGAGTGTAGATCATGTTCTGTCTCTCAGAAGACTTAGGCTCCTTCAAATGTTGGGCTAGTTTATGGAGGTTTTCAGATTCCATAACTAGCTCATGTTCATTAATTTGTCAATCCGGTTTCTCTTATCATGTTTGCATGATTCTTAGAGTCGAGAGCTGTCTACATGTGGATCACTACTTGTGTCAACTATTAAGTTCCTACCCTTCTACTACGTTCAGTTAATCCAATAGCTCTGTTAAATTTCACGACTGGAAAACGGATGAAAGCAGTTGGTTCAGTAATTAGAGAAGAAGCCATTCTTAATTTTTTTTTGCCTGCTTGATAGAGAGCAGGGAGAAAAGATGGGAAGGTGGTGAGGTTGATTCAATTGCTTGCTTACTTGTGCTTAAGCTACACACATGTCCATTCGAAAGCATTTTCATTTTTTATTCATTTTTATAAGGATTCCAAAGAGACCTTCATCAACAATTGCTTTGTATCTCAGTTCATTTGAAACTAGTATTTAGTTCTTGCTGCGTATAAACTCCATGGCTTGAGTCTTTGTCCGTACACGAGGGTGCCGAAATAAGTTTCTACATTGCGGGGTCTTTACTCTTTACACAAGTGTTAGACTTTCGTTTTACCTGGCTGTTGATTTTTGATCTCCTTTTTTTCACAGTCAGAAACTTCAAAATCCAGTTGGGGAAGTACCTTGGTCTGAACATATGACGTTTGTCATCTTAAGTAACATGCTAAAGGTATATATGCCATTTCCATTTTGGTTTACCAGAGTAAATAACTTTGTATTTGACTTTACAACATGGGAAGTAGTGGAGAGTTGTGCATTCTGGCTCTTCTGCTGTACTTAGTTTGTTAGTTAGACTTGCTTTTTAACAGTTTGGTGAATCGGATTGGAATTGCAAAAGCCAAGAGATTTTCCTTTTTCCTTGTTTGAACTATCCTCATTTAAGGCCCATTCTTTTTTATTTCAATGTACCACATCACCTGTCTTCAGCAGGATTTCAGCATTTATAAAGCGTTGTATAGACACAAGCTCTTGTCCCTTCGGGGACATCCGATAAAATTGGAACGATACAGAGAAGATTAGCATGGCCCCTGCGCAAGGATGACACGCATAAATCGAGAAATGGTCCAAATTTTTTTTTTTTTGGATCCTTCCGATTCCGATCTCTGTCCCTTACATTGTTCTTGTCTGCCTTTGTTTTGATCTTTTGGAGTAATGTTGTGAGCCAAATATGTTTCCTCGCCATTTTTTAAGAGCCCAGTTATATTTTTCTTCTTTCTTTAATGATGACTTTCATATCTTTTGAAGGTCCTAGCATAAAGATTGAAATGACCCATGTCAGCTTAGGTTGACATGTTTGGAGAGTACTTAAGAGCTGGAACAGCATACGAGTGGAGTATGTGGCCTCCCTTTTCCACTGATTGCTTGTTCAAGGTTTTTCCTCCGCGGTGACCAGTTAATTGAGCTCAACGATACTGCATTCAGAAGCTAGCTACTTGAGTTTGATCAAAATAGCAGCCAGATGGGCCATTGTCAGGTAAAAGTGCACACTTCACCGGACATCGAGCCCCTTCCTTTACCGTCATTGTCGCTTTATGGTAGTTCAGATCCGTGCTCATGAATCCTGGTACCTGCATTGCATGAACACAGTTTATTTTCATCTCAGGATGCCACTTTGTCAGGATTCTCGAGTAGCCATTTACAGCTGCCTTGGATATGCTGTATGCTGGCTGCACCGATGACCACATGCTGCCATTATTAAGGTTGTCGTCTTTGTAATCCTGAAGAAACCTCTTCAGAATATCATCCAGCTTATTCTCACTCACTGTCTCAGCATTCGCATTCCCAAGTTGTTCCCTCATGTCCTTCCCTGAAATCTGCCATTGCAAGGTTAAAACACATGATGTGAGCAAACAATTCGAAAAACAAGAGTGCGAAAGAAGAAAACAGGCATTCAACAACCCCACCAAGATGTCCAGATTCCTTAACTTCTTGGTAAGAAAATCGGCCTACTTATGAACACTGAGGGAGTCAAGGACATCAAGATGATGGAAAAGCACATTGGGAAAGCGAAGGCTTGAAGCTGCATCAGTCCCTCGCTTTACATCTCTGACTTGAACACAACTGTTGTAAAGGTGGCAGGGTTGATTCCCTTGGGCTAGACATGTAGGGTGCTGAAAAGTATGAGATTTCCCTTTAGGGATTTTACGTGTTTCTTGGTTTGATGATCTTCTTTGTTCATAGTCAGAAGCTTGCGGAGTCCAGTTGAGGAAGGACCTGAGACTGAAAGCATGGCGTTTGTCAAGTAAGGCGCTAAAGGTATATATGCCCTTTCCTTTCTGGTTTACCATAAAGCAAATGACTTTGTATTTCGACTTTACAACTTGGAAAGTAGAGGAGGTTTTGGCATTCTGGTTCTTCTGCTGCGTTTAGTTTGTTAGTTAGACTTGCTTTTTAGCAGTTTCATGAATAGAAAATTAGGAAACGAGAAAATGAATAAGGAAGCAGGAGGCAAGGATTTACCAGGAGAGAGAGCATAGAGTCATAGATATCCCTTCTAGTTTACAACGTACCACATCCTTTCTTTTTGAGTGAAGGCTCTGTGTTTATAAATCTCTGTCAAACAGATGCTGCCGTCCCTTCGGGGACATCCGATAAAATTGGAACGATACAGAGAAGATTAGCATGGCCCCTGCGCAAGGATGACACGCATAAATCGAGAAATGGTCTAAATTTTTTTTTTGGATCCTTCTGATCTCTATCCCTTATATTGTTCTTTTCAGCCTCTGCTAGGCTTCTATTGGATTCAACTATTCAATGTATCTAATCACCTGTAGAGTTTTAACAACATGAGAGCGGAGATCCTTTTCGATTACAGGAACTGCTTGGTTCAGTACATTACATAAGAATCTAGTATATGGTGTTCTTTGTGGTGTTCCTTTTCTTTCGCCATGTTCAATCCAAACCTGGAAATAAAACACTGGTAGTAGTCTCTTAATCTGCTCAGCAGATTAAACTATTCAATGTATCTAATCACCTGTGGAGTTAATAACTGGAGAGTAGAGATCCTTTTCGATTACTGGAACTGTTTGGTTCAGTACATTACATACGAAGCTAGTATATGGTTTTCTTGGTAGTTCTCCTTTGCTTTCGCCATGTTCATCCATACCTGGAGATAAAACACCAGTAGTCTTCTCTTAATCTGCTAAGCAGTTCAGTAACACTGTAATTTTGTAGAGGTAACTAATGGATTACTGGATGGAATGACTAATGATAAAACACCAGTAGTCATCTCTTAATCTGAGTTGGTGCCTGAATCAAACTGCTAGGCTTCTACTGGATTCAACTAGTCAATGTATCGAATCACCTGTAGAGTTTTAACAACATGAGAGCGGAGATCCTTTTCGATTACAGGAACTGCTTGGTTCAGTACATTACATAAGAAGCTAGTATATGGTGTTCTTTGTGGTGTTCCTTTTCTTTCGCCATGTTCAATCCAAACCTGGAAATAAAACACTGGTAGTAGTCTCTTAATCTGCTCAGCAGATTAAACTATTCAATGTATCTAATCACCTGTGGAGTTAATAACTGGAGAGTAGAGATCCTTTTCGATTACTGGAACTGTTTGGTTCAGTACATTACATACGAAGCTAGTATATGGTTTTCTTGGTAGTTCTCCTTTGCTTTCGCCATGTTCATCCATACCTGGATATAAAACACTAGTAGTCTTCGCTTAATCCTTCCCCTTCCCTCTCCAAACTGTGACTAGGTGGTGTGTTGCGACCGTTAGTCTTACTGCAAGACTCTTACATCATTTACTGGGTTCATTTTTCGCTCCATATGGACAACCAAGCAAGTAGTTCGTCTCGAGGCTTCTTAACCGTCGGTCGTTATGACTTATGCTGTGTTTCGAGAGTTCCACGGGTGCTTTACGGAGAACAGAAGCCATCTTTTGTTGATTCTGCCATGATTAGCTTAATCGTTTTGGTTAAACAAATTTTCATCAGTGTGCCTGCTCTTTACTTACGGATGCTGTCCCTGCTTAACAGGACTGTCTTCTTTGCTTGTTTACTTTGTTGACATCCCTTTGCTTACAGGCCAGAAGCTGCAGAATAGGAGAAAAGGAAAGGACCTTCAAGAATCGGCCTTTTTACCTTAAGGAACAGAGCTAAGGTATGCCCTTTTCCTTTCGTATAAGTAAATGATTACAAGTACTTTGTATTTGATCTAGGCACTTAACGATAATACATGCCTTTGAATAATTTAATAAAGGTTCTGCTTGGTCAGTTTATATGAGTTTAAGAAGTCATGAACCATTGGGGTTCATGCGACAATAAGAAGTACCACATCGGTTGTTTTGGTGAGAATAAAGCCTTTATTAATTCCTGCAAAACCAAAGCTGCTGTCCCTTCGGGGACATCCGATAAAATTGGAACGATACAGAGAAGATTAGCATGGCCCCTGCGCAAGGATGACACGCATAAATCGAGAAATGGTCCAAATTTTTTTCCCTTCCTCCCCAGTGTATCATAAACCTGTTGGTTTTTAAAACTAATGATTCTCCTAGCTTTTGCAGGTGCTAGCATAAAGATAAAAGATCTTCAAAAGAAGCTTTAGGTTGACATGTTTGAAGGTTTTTCTACTAATTGCTTGTTTCAAGGTTTTTCCTCCATGGTTGCCAGTCAAATGAGCTCAACAATACAGCATTCAGAAGGCAGCAACTTGAGTCTGATCAAAATAGCAGCCAGAAGGGCCATCATCAGGTAAAAGAGCACACTTCACAGGACCTCTAGCCCCATCTTCCACTGTCATGGTCCCCGTATGGTAGTTCAAATCCGTGTTCACGAATCCAGGATGAACACAGTTTATCTTCATCTCAGGATGCCTCCTCGCCAGGATTCTCGTGTAGGCATTCACAGCAGCCTTGGAGATGCTGTATGCTGGCAGCATCGATGGCCACGTTCCGCCAGCCTCGAGGCTGTCATCTTTGCAATCTTGCAGAAACCTCTTCACCATATCATCCAGCTTGTTCTCATTCAGTGTCTCGACGTCTCCAAGTTGGTTCCTCACATCGTCGCTAGGGATCCTTCGTAGCTCCCCTCGGAGGGAGGAGATGTTAACTATCCTGGCACCACAAGTGGAGAGCTTGAGGAGTGGGAGTAGAGCCTCAGTTGTCGACTTGACGCCATAGAAGTTGGTGTTCAAGCATTCCTCTGCCTTCTCATAGGTATGCTTCACTGCATCCTGAACCAAATGAGCAGCCTTACCTGAAAGCTGCCATATATTATGATGGTGTTAAAACACATGAGGTGAATCAAATGATGAATTTTTTTTTTTTTTGAGCAACTTCACAAACTCACCCAAGTTTCTGCGTCGATTTTCAGGCTCTTGATGCGTTCCTTGTCCACCTCGACTTCAGAAGCTCCAGCATTGTTCACCTGCGCCAGAAACATTAGCCCCCTTCAGACGATGAATTCCCACAAATCGAGAGTGCAGAAAGATGAAAACAAGCATTGAACACTTCTCACCAGGATGTCAAGTTTCCCAAACTTTCTGGTGATGAAATCGGCCAACCTGTGGATGCTGAGGGAGTCAAGGACATCAAGCTGATGGAAGATGACATTGGGAAGGCCAAGGCTTGAAGCTGCTTCAGTCCCTCGCTTTACATCTCTGGCTGTTAGCACAGCTGTGACTCCATGGCCAGCCAATTGCTTCACTATCTCCAGCCCAATTCCCTTGTTTGCTCCTGTTACTACTGCAATCCTGCAACTGCCATAAAGAAACAAAAAAAATTTAGGGAATGGAGAGCATTCAAAGTGAAGTAAGCAAGTGAAGATTGAACTTGGGTTTTGGCTGGTACTGAATTTACTTTGCTATTGATTGCATTTTTTTCCTTCTGTATCTGTTTTGAAGAGTACTGATGCTATTGTTTGACCTTTATTTATTTGCAACCTGCCATGGAGAAGTCAATAATTGGAATCCAGTTGGATGGTGAGTACAGAATTCAGTCTGGTTGGTTGTGAGATGCCTCTTTTTGTACAACTCCAGTTTCATCTCTTCATTTTGTCTCTATTTGTTTTTTTTTTAAATAAAATCTTGATGTGAGAGTGAATTTGGGCGGTAACCTTGATGAATCAGAAAAATTAAATTTATTAAATGTCATGAATTTTAACGACGATCATATAGCATGTTAAAAGCCAGTGTAAAGAAGTTCACCCTCCAAATCTTGAGGGTGGTCAACCTTTAACACCCTAAAAAATAAGGTTCAAACTCCAACCGTACAAATGAATATTTGGAGTGAAATTAAACTTAGGGTTAATACCTTGTTATGGCCTGAACTATGACCAAGTAATCAACTTTGGCCAGTGGTTTGAGAAATTAACATCCTGGCCCGATCTATGCAGCATGTTTTGACAAAATTGGCCTGGACCGTGGTTTGACCGTTTGTTTGGACGGTCAACACCGTTGACCGTTAGTCAACTGTCCAGGTCACTGCCATGTCAACATAAAAAATTATTTTTCTTTTTATTTCATTTACAAAAAATTGAATAATTAAAAAAAAATGACCGAAATTTTGGCCCACCCATCCCCACCTTATCCCCTCACCTTCTTTCCTTTTCGATCAAACCCAACCCTATTCCATCTTCTTCCTCCTTCTTCCCCGACGAGACGCCGCCTCCTTTCCCTCCGACGAAAACAAATCCCTTCTCCCCGACGACCCGCCGCCTCCATATCCGAAACAAATCCCTTCTCCCCGACGACCCACCGCCTCCACATCCCAAACGAAATCGAGCTCCCTTCTTTCTTCCTTTCTATCCAAAAACGGCTCGAGACCCCTTTCGCGATCTCTTCTTCCTTTCTACCAGACCCATCTCGAGCTCTCTTCATACCCCTCTGTGCAATAATGTCCAGGCGAGTTGGGAAAATTGCCACCAAAGCTTCATCCTCTTCTGGTTCGTCAAGCACGAAGCCCATAAGATGCAACTTCCACCGAGCCCCTTTCGTTGTCAACACTTCTCGAACAGACGACAATCCTGGGAGATTGTTTTATTCTTGCCCGTATTGGAAGGATGAAGAGAAGAACTGCAGGTTTTTTCGCTGGGTTGATGCAGTCACAGAGAGTGACTTTATGCTTGGTGGACTTATGGAAGAGAATGAGCAGCTAAAGTTGGCATTGGAGGCATTTGAAGGACAACTTCGTAGGGAAAAAGAGAAGGCGAAGAAGAGGAAACAGGAGAAGTTGGCACTGCTTGAAGACTTGACGAAGGTGACCGAGATCAATTCAGCTTGTTTCGGTGAATTGCAAAGTATGCGAAATGCGATTTGTGCGCTACAAAATCGGCTAACCGCTTGTGTAATCGTTGTAGTTATCTTTCTTTTTGTTTTGGTGATTGTCCAATTGTAAGCTTGTTGTCTAATTTGTGCAATTTCCTATGAAATCAATGAACTGATCCATTATGTTACCTGATTTCCTTCCTCTTACCATGTTCTTTCATTGAAGCACAATTGGGACAAACACATACAACTTCATTCATTCATAAGTTTAGGACATGGTTCATTTCTAGACCATTTACAAAAGGGGCACTACCTTAGTTTAGGACAAGGTAGTGCCTAAGTTTAGGACATGGTTCAGTTCTAGACCATTTACAAAAGGGGCACTACCTAACTTTGGACCTACTTTACATATTTCTACCTACACTCCAACGAATCACAATGATCCGTAACATGCACATAGCACGCACAAAATAGGAGTCTTATCTAATTCCTAACATAGCATCTTCTGACTTCCTAAGGCGACTCTGGTTGAGTAGTGGGAGGCTGTGTGGTATTGACAGGAGCTTGGTCTGGTTCTGTTGCTCGTACACCACCAGGTGGTGGCACTCTGTGACTAAGCTGCAAAACAGTAGGATCTGGATATTAGGAATAGCCGTAACAGCAAACACTACTTTGTCAATAAGCATTAAAACTCTGTTACATACCCTTGCATACATGTTTCCAGTGTCCATGTCAATGTAGGTTCCAATACCTTGCATCGCCCTTCTCATTTCACGATCAGTTACCCTTTTACTACTCGAACCAACATGGGGTGCCTACAATTTCATACACATTCAGCTATGAATTTCATTCATTCTTTCATTCATTCCATTCATTCATTCATTCCATTCATTCATTCCATTCACTCAGTCAATTATTGTAACATAGTTAAAAGCTGGTTACCTGAATCCCTACAAGTAGTGGACAACGTCTTGCATTATGGTGCTCTGATCTACACTTGCTGCAACGACCCTTCTTCTTTTCTCGTGGCTGCTGTAAAATGTTACATTAATATACATTAATAACAAATAACAAATAAGTATTAAAAGGATCCTCTGCGAGTTACCTGATTCTCCCTTCCAGCGTCTTGATTTGATTGAGGAACAGGGGCTTGAGGAGTCGGGCGTGCTTGCTTCTTCTTCTTAGGAGCTGCAGCCTTGGGGGCAGCAGGCTCATTCTTGCATGTCCTCGAATTGTGGCCTTCTCCACCACAATTCCCACAATGAATCGAGATATTCTCCCTACTAGCAACCTCCCCAATTCCATTTTTAGCTTGCTTGCTTCGTATCTCCCAAGCCTCCCTCCGACGTTTTGTCTTTGGACGACCAGGCATGCGCCTAATCCGAGGAGGGTACACCTTGTTCCCAAAGACGGGCAGCCATGCTGGTCGACCTTCCGATGCTGGAATGGGAAACTTGTATGCCTTTTTCACAAACTCCATCTTGAAGAAGCCATCAACATAAGAATCCGGAAGTCCTCGCATGCTTCTGATGGATGCAAACGCATGACTACAAGGAATACCATTTAATGCCCACCAACCGCACGTGCAAGTCCGGTTCTTCAGGTCAACCACGAAGGCCTTGTTCTCGACAGCAACCTCATGCATCGTCTCAGATGAAGGACGACTAGTGCACATTCTCGCTTCATGCTTTGACTTTTCTAGTTTTCCCCTGACCACCGGTGGGAAAGTGTCATTCCATCGCAACATCTTCCGGCGGTTCTTCACTAGTCGAGTCATAACAGACACTCGAATTTCCTCCAACATTGCAATCGGTCTGAGAGACCTGAATCGCAATATCCAGTTATTGAATGACTCGCATATGTTGCTCTCCACCGAGTCACTCTTGGAGAATGTCTTCATGAACACACGACAGAAGTGCTCTGGTTCCTGGAGAGTGAATTCTATGTTAGATCATGCTTTAATTTGAATATAAGCAAAGCAAACATAATAAGCAAAGAAAGATTACCTGAGCCATAAAATCAGCATACTCAGTCCCACCAAGGCCTTTCATTCGAACCATGGCATCTGTCCAATCAGAGTTATTGAGAGAGTAAACAGCTTCCCAAAACAAATCAGTAGCTGCTGCCGTCTTGTGCTTCTCCCGAAAGTGAGCATGAACATGCCGAGCACATTTCCGGTGTTCTGCATTTGGCAAGCAGGCATGTAGAGCCTCTACAAGCCCCTGTGTTAAACAATCGAAGTTAGGAGAAGCGTGGGATTCAAATTTAGGTATTCAAATAGTCATAATAAGTAAAGTAGTTACCTTCTGTTGGTCTGAGACAATAGTAAACCCACTACCGTCTTCAGTCCCAAGTTGATTTTGCAAGGCATTTATGAACCAAATCCAAGAGGATTTGTTCTCAGACTCCACTATTGCCCATGCAATTGGGAACATGTGATTGTTCCCATCCTTACCAACTGCAGCCAGAAGCATTCCTTGAACCTCCCCCTTTAAAAAACAACCATCGAGGCAGAAGAAGGGCCTACATCCTGCCAGGAATCCTTTGCTCAAACTGGAGAAGCCAATATAGAGCCTCTTGAAGAACACCTTGTCACAACCCGGATCTACATCCACCTCGAGAAGGAAGGAACCTTGCGGGTCAACTTTCAGAAGATGTCCTATATATGATCTAATCTGAGCAAAATCTTCTTCAAGTGATCCATATAACATGCGACGCGCTTCTAGCCTAGCTCGGTAGCAGGTTTGGTTTGACACAACCAAATTGTACTTCCGCTTAATTTCAGCAGCTATTAGGCCTACATCCCAACCCTGATTTGCCCTAAATGTCTCGATAAATTCTTCTGCTATCCACCTCTGACCTGCTACCCGAATATGAAGTGAACGAGGGCAACTGTGAGCTGTTCCAACTCCTTTAACCATAAATGTTTCTTCTTACGAAACCAACTTGCATATACCCTCCACCCACAACGGAATTCTTTCCTTTGCGCACACACAGCTTCCTTCCTAAAGTCACTGCTCCTTACCCATCTGATATTAGCACCAATCACAATGGATTGCCTCATTACAGCTGCCTTAAACTGCTCAGGGGATTTAAAGCGCATACAAGGAACAAACTTCAATGCTTTATGATCGCACTTAGGATCATAAAGCAAGGATTTGTCAAACTTGGCGACATTATCTTGTTCACCAATGTTGCCTCTAACGTGAGCAGAGTCCTCTGATCCCCTATACTCAGTTTCCATTGATCCCCCCACTATTTGCATAATCTTCACCAGCTTGATCCCCCACATTCTGCTCCTCACTTCCACTCACATTCTGCCCTCCATTCCCACTGTCCACATTCTGATCTTCACTTCTAGGCTCATTCTGCCCTCCATTCTCACTGCCCTCACTGCCCTCATCCTCCTCCAATACCACTTGATCAACCTCCTCACCCGAATCCTGAATCTGAGCTCTATAATTCTGTCTCCTGTTTCGAACCTTCTGCCTGATTTCATGGTACTCTTCATCAGATGTTTGGGCATCATCTTCTTCCCCTACTCGAACAAACTCAGGTACAGCCGAGTTTTCACCATCCTCATCAGAACCATCATACTCATGGCCGTAGTTGTCACCCATAAATCCATCATCAACCAAGTCTTTTGTTGCTTCAAAGTAGACCCTCACCTGTCCTTTAGCTACACATGGGAGTAATCCATTCATAACCTCCGCGTCTGAATGAATTTCGTGCAATCCAGTGGCCAAACTTTTACCCGGAGTCAAGTACCAAAGCCTTTCCACGGAGACATACTCTAAATCTTCAATTAGAGTCTTTGTTAGCTCGAAATAGGACAATACATCGACAACCATGTTCACCACAGCTTCATCACCTCCAACGTACTTTGGAACAGCCCCTGTCATATCCATATATCCTCCATGACATAAAATGAGCTCAATCGGGTCTTCCATTCTGCACATAAACAAATCGAAAACACACTTTTCTAAGCAAACTTCACTAAGCCGACAAAGACAAATCGCTAAATTCACTAAGCCGACAAAGACAAATCAACTATTGTTGTTTAATGTCCACTATGCATCAATCCACATATGACCACAACCGATTTCTTGGAAGTATTTAGAATATTATTATGTGGGATAGTGATTGCTTACCTTGTCGAAGTGGTCCCTTGCTACAGGTGTCCCTGGAACCTCACTTTCTTCGCCTTTTACAGAAAATATCGATGGGTGGGGAAGGGTTGGCCTACAAAGAAATGGACAGAGCGAAATGGGTGGGGAAGGCAGGGGAAGGCAGGGGAAGGCTTGGTCTTGGGTGGGGAAGGCTTGGACAGAGCGTGCGAGGAACGGGTGAGGGTTGTCGGGGAAGAAGGAGGAAGAAGAAGGGTCGTTAGGGTTTTTTTGGGGAAGGGATCAGTAACGAAAGAAGGCGAGGGGGATGGGTGCTCGTGTTTGGGTTATGTTGAAAGAGTGCGACGGCGGCGGCGTCGTCTTTAAACGACCGGCCGCCGCTGCATTTGAAGTCGGAGGGAATGGAGGCGGCGTCTCGTCGGGGAAGAAGGAGGAAGAAGATGGAATAGGGATTGATCGAAAAGGAAAGAAGGTGAGGGGATAAGGTGGGGACGGGTGGGCCAAAATTTTTGGATTTTTTTTTTAATTATTCAATTTTTGTAAATGAAATAAAAAGAAAGATAATTTGTTATGTTGACATGACAGTGACCTGGACAGTTGACTAACGGTCAACGGTGTTGACCGTCCAAACAAACGGTCAAACACGCTCCAGGCCAATTTTGTCAACATGCTGCATAGATCGGGCCAGGATGTTAATTTCTCAAACCACTGGCCAAAGTTGATTACTTGGTTATAGTTCAGGCCATAACAAGGTATTAACCCTTAAACTTATGAGGTAATGGAATTCATGATGATTAGCCAATAATAAAGACATGCATAACTATACATCCGAAGCGAATTGAGGTCATCATGAATATTAAACATGTAAGAATATCGACAAAAGAAATATATGATATAACCGAGCTTGTTTATCATTAGGATGATCGATTGTTAAAACAAAATTATTTTATATACTCAAAGGTTGAATTTGTTTGTGATTGGAATTTAAAGTTTGGTTTTGTTTGTAATTCTATTCCCAGCAAAATGCGTAGTAAGCCCAAATCAACTCAATCAACAAAATAAGTCGTAGGACCTTAATTTTATTGGGTCAACACCTCTTTTGGTTGTGAAAATATGAAAACGTGGGAATTAGCCTTAATTCTCACGTTATTATATACTATGATAATAGTCAAGTGAAAATTGGCTAAAGTTCCACGTTTAGGATTTTAAGAATGTGGACTTTAAAGTAGGGGTGTCATTCGGTCGGTTTCGGTTTAACCGAAAACCGAAATCCCGGTTATCGGTTAAACCGAGACTCTCCCTATGACTACCGACCGTGAGAAAGCCACGGTTAGCCGGTCAACCGACCGGCCGGTTTCGGTTTTAGGCTCGATTAGCCGCAAAAAAAAAAATCCACCCCCTTCTTTTCAAAACGATTGCGTTTAACTAATAAAAAAAATACATTAAAGAAAACCATCCCCATCTTCCTCACAGTCACAACAACTGCTTCTCTCTCCTTACCTTTCTCCATTTTAGATCTGCCTTCTCTCTCCTTCCTTCTCTCTCCTTACCTTTCTCCATTTTAGATCTGCCTTCTCTCTCCTTCCTTCTCTCTCCTTCCATCTCTCAATTTCAAATTGGAAAAAGCAGCAGCAGTCCCCATTCGCCAACGACGAAGGCGCGGGGGAGGAAGCGCTCGCCTGCTGAGGATGACGGAGGACGACGAGGCGATGACGGCGCGGGAGAGGAGGCTGCATGCGTGGCGTTGTCGTTGACCGCGAGGGCGAGCTGGTCTCCCGTGAGGTCGGCCAGTCGTCCGGCGACGGCGCGGAACTGGAGGAGCGGCGGCGATGGCGGACTGGAGGAGCGGCGGCGATGGCGGACTGGTCTGGAGGCGCGGCGATGGAGGACTGGAGGAGGGCGGCAGATTTCTTTCTTCTTTCTTCTTTCTTCTTCTTCTTCTGGGTTTTCACTTTTCATTTTGAGAAGAGAGAGGTCGGCTAGGGTTTGGGGGTCGTTTTGAGGGGGACGGGTCGTTTAGGAGGCTGGGTAAAGGCTCGGTTAGTCGGCTAACCGCCGGTTTCCGACCTCGGTTGGTCGGCTAGCCGAGCCTTCTCCCCTCGCTACCGACAACCGACCGAATATAATTAAGGACGGTTTCCGGTTAGCCGAAAACCGGTCGGTTCGGTCGAAACCGACCGGTTAGCCGCTAACCGGAAAACCGATTGCCAGCCCTACTTTAAAGTGTACCAGTTTTCCTCTTCCTTTGTGAGATGGAAGTAGGGATGGCAACAAAACCTGAACCCACGGGTACCCTATCCGATCCAACCCGCGTTGACGGGTTTGGGTTTAAACTCGTACACTATTCACCAGATTGGGTTGGTTTGGGTTTAGGGGTACCTGATCCATGGATACCCGCTCACACTTATTGCGTCGCCCTACTCTCCCCAAACCCTACCACAATTCTAATTTCCTCCAATCTAACTCTTACTACACTTATTCTGTGTGAATTTATTGAGTGTAATTGTGATATGTTTGAATTTTCTAGAATGATGTTTTATTTATGAATAATTTGTATGGGGAAATTGATGTTTGAATTTTATTTTGATAGGAACTTGTAATTATAAATTTTTTACCACAGAAACCCATGGGTACCCATGAAACAGCGGATATCCAGCGGGTTGGGTTGGGTTTGAGTTTTCCAAAGTCCAAACCCAATGGGTTTTACCCCGAATTTTTTTGACGGATAAACATATGAGTTTGGATTTGGGTTTTGCAAAACTCAATCCAACCCGATCCATTGCCATCCCTAGATGAAAGAGAAAAATGATGGAAAGGAAGAGAGATAGAATTGGTTAAGAAAAGAAAAACGTTGAAATGTCAGAATATATAGAGTGGATGTCGTAATTATAATTTCTATGTCCGTGAGATTTGAACCAAATTATCATGCCTCAATTTCCATGTTGCTTTTGTCTTGCTAAACATGATTTTTTTTTATTACCAAATTATCACAGTTCGTGAGATTTAAACTCAATTCTCACACAAAAATTCCATATCCAAACAACTCCTAAAATAGTAGAATTTTTTCCGGGTTAATTGCAAGGATGGTCACTACTCACTGGGTTTACTAAAATCGTTCATGTTTGGTCACTGCAAATATTTAATTTCATTCATGGTCACTAAGATTAGTTCAATAGTTCAAGTTTGGTCACTCTCCGTTAGTTTCCGTTAGTTTTTGCTGATGTGGCAGTCAACTATTATAATTGACCGTTAAATGAGTGACGTGGTCATAAAAAAATAATAAAATAATAAAATTTAAATATTTACAATTTCCACCTCATTTTACAACTATTAAAAAATAAAACTTACCTCCGCCATCTACGCCACCGTGGCCATGACGCGATCGTCTCCGCCAGTTCCAACGAAGAACTACCACTTCCAACAATTCCAGCAACCTCCTGAAACTCCTTCCACCAAACCATGAACGAGCTCTCCCCCAGGAAAATCTCAGAATCCACCGCAAAGTTCTCAATATGCTCCATCACATACCTCTGGAACACCACCAAACGGTTCTTCGCCTCACTAAACTCACCACCGCCGCCGCTACCCTTCTGCTTCAACAATCTCACCGCACACAGAGCCTCCTCCACATCCGCCCAGAAGCAGGAATCTTCAGTCATCATATCCACTGTCTTCTTCTCCTTCTTCTTCATCTTCCCCTTCCCTGCCGCGTCTTCCTTCTGCCATTTCTCCAGCAGAATGTAATGTGGCGACCTCCCCTGTTTCTTGTAGTCTCTGTTTTTCCCGTCTCGGTAGAACTCTGCGATGTCGAGTGGCTCCACCATTCGTCGGTAATTCGTTCCGCCGTAGAGGAACATGGTTCGGAAGAACAAGCTCTCCTTTTGGGACTTGCTTTCGGCTTCTTTAGACTAAAAAAATAACTATTGAGGAAGGAGCGGCGGCGGAGACGATCGCGTCATGGCCACGGTGGCGTAGATGGCAGATGTAAGTTTTATTTTTATTTTTTAATAGTTATAAAATGAGGTGGAAATTGTAAATATTTAAATTTTATTATTTTATTATTTTCTTAATGGCCACACCACTCATTTAACGGTCAACTATAATAGTTGACTGTCACATCAGCAAAAACTAACGGAGACTAACGAAGAGTGACCAAATTTGAATTATTGAACTAATCTTAGTGACCATGAATAGAATTAAATATTTGCAGTGATCAAACATGAACGGTTTTAGTAAATCCAGTGACCATCCTCGCAATTAACCCAATTTTTTCCGATTGAACCGAATTCCATCTAGGTCCAATAACTTTCCAGGACTGTGTAGTCGTTAGATTTCATGGGCCCAAAAATGCTCCTAAACCTGACCGAAACCGTGAACCTTGAAAAGGCCAGCTTATTTCAAAGCCCACATAGTAGGAACCCAAATTTATTTTTGCGCCTGCTCTGTAAAATGTCGCTCGCAGAGAAGGTGTTCGAAGAAATGCCTAAGAGGGAGGAATGTTGCGTCTGATCTCCAAATTTGCTCTTCTGTTCCGCAAGCCCTTGTCGTCCTCGCTTTCCCGCCGCGTCTCGCCGCCTTCTAACGCTTGCGCTGCACAGAGGGAGAACCACTTCTCGAATTTAGCTCCCAGGACGAGACCGAGCTTGTCGATATGGAGGCGTAAGAAAGAGCTGGGCAAAGAGGGGCTGTTCGCCGCTAAGGAACTGAAACGGCTCCAACCCCATCCCCTGCGCCTCGACCGATTCATCCAGTCCCACGTCTCTCGCCTTCTCAAGTCCGATCTCCTAGCTGTACTCGCCGAGTTCCAGCGCCAAGACCAGATCTTCCTCTGCATGAAGGTTCGTTCTCTCTTCCGATTTCATTCGCTCAAGTTTTGTTTGTCCATTTGGGAATTCGAATTAGAACGTCTTACTTTGAGCAACCAGATGAATTATCTCATTGAGGGTTCTCCATTTTTTGTTGGGCGGCTGCAGTTATACGACGTGGTTCGTAAGGAGATATGGTACAAGCCGGACATGTTCTTCTATAGAGACATGCTCATGGTGCTAGCAAGAAACAAGAAAGTGGAAGAAGTGGAGCAAGTGTGGCGAGATTTGAAGAGAGAACAAGTTTTATTCGATCAGCATACATTTGGGGACATCGTCAGAGCCTTTCTGGACAATGGGTTGCCATCAGAAGCAATGAAGATATACGATGAAATGAGGCAGTCACCTGATCCACCACTGTCATTGCCCTTCCGAGTGATGTTGAAGGGGCTGATCCCGTATCCAGAGTTGAGAGAGAAGGTGAAAGATGATTTCTTGGAGCTTTTCCCCAGCATGATTGTGTATGATCCAGCTGAGGATTTGTTCGACGACGATGAAGACGAATCGCAGAGGGAGAGTGACTATGATTATTAGAGTGCTTTGCAGTTTTGGCTTCATATACTGTTGGCGACTGATCCACGAAAAACCAGGAGCTGTCCGGTGATATCGATCGAGTACATGGGAATTTGTATGACATGATCCTACATGAGATATGGACGATGCTCCATCTAACTCAAGTGTTTAAAGACGAGTGTGGTTTGCTGTCAATGCAGCTGGTTATATGAAGCTTTGTGGCTGATGAACTAAAAGAGCATCTTATATTCTTATTGATTGAGCACATCATGAGCTATATGCAGGCTGCCACTTGCGCCACCTGAGGTAAAACCTTGAGAGTAAATTATGTCAACAGTCACTGCTGTGAGCTGTTGGTGCTTTATTCCTTTTCAGTTTTATGCTTTGTTTTGATGGCCGCATTCGTGTAGCCGGTTAGTTGTCAATTGTCTAGCACAATCAAGTTGTTTAGTGCTACTGATTAGGATGGTGGTAGAGGAGCCATGATAGTGTAGGAGATTCAAGAATCATATTTTCTCACTGGTTCCATTGTCTATTATATCAGGAGATTCAAGAATCATATTTTCTCACTAGTTTCAATGTCTATTATATCGGGTATGTTAATTTTGTTATGCCTGGACGCTTTGGATGGTAGAATGAGATGATAGTTTTTAGGTCTTGAGATCTTGTTGAGTTTGAAGGACAGGCAACACTTGTGTAGAGAGTGTCCTTAAAACCTCAATGACATTGAGTTTGAGCATCTTTTCTAGCCCTTAAGGTCGAAACCATATGGACCTGTATGTATGTTAATGATTCTTTCGACTTAAGTTTCACTTTTTTCGACATTCTCTCGTATTGTAAGATTTTGTCATTCAGGTGATGCCCGAAGCATACAAGTGATACGAGATTGTAAAATAGAATTATCTAAAGAGCAATCATCTATCGCGAGCGACCAAATCAAATGAATAAGTGGAAACCAGAGTCGTAAATTATTTGTTGGCTATATCGTTGATATTGATATCATTAGCCATTGGATTTCATATGATTCGATACATTGTATTAGAAAATCAATTGCAAATTCTACATCTCCAGAGGAGAAAGTGGTGATATGATAAAGATTTTAAATTGAAAGGGGGTTTTTTTTTTTTTTTGTCATAGATAATGGTAACAAATAGATAGTCAGAGAACAGCAAGCAACCAAACGCGGCAGTCGACAAATAGTCGAACTGTCGATGAAAGGGCCTTTTGAGCCACTAAATGGGCAGCCCTGTTGTACCTGCGAGGTGTAAAACAACAAGAAAAGGTAGAAAAGGCAAATTGAAAGGGGTTGAAAAGTTGTGTTTTTGTTGCCGCCATCGCCACCCCCACTTCACAGCTAGAAAATGGAAGGGGGATTTTGTAATTTGCCGGAAAAGAAATCGTTTCTTTCTTTCGACGGCCGATGCTCTGTTCGAAACAATGGCTGTATTGGTGTCAGTGCTATTATATAAATGCAAAGCGAATTCATAATTTGTTTCCCTCTCTTCTTCCTCCCAGCAGCCCCGCCCTTCCTCTCTCTCTCTCTCTCTCTCTCTCTCTCTCCATCTGAATACAGACAATTTCATCTCTCTGCATCAGTAGGATAAAGAATTTCAAGATTATGATGTCATGCCGCCGCCGACTAACCGCCGGATCGGCGGCGCCGCTGGATTTCCACCGCGGGCAGAAGGATTCCGCTTCGACGGTGGTGGAAGTCGTCTCCCTCCCTCTCAGAAGGATTCGTAACCGTCACCTCCTCCAACCGGCAATTTCACTGAGAGCGGTCTCGAGGAGGCGTTCGGAATTGTTCCTCGCCGAGGCGGCGGTTGGCGGACACAGCAGAGGCGTGCGGGAGCGTCCGGACGGCGGAAACGAGGCGGCGGCGGAGGAGGAGGAGCTGCCGGCAGAGCCTCTCTCGTATTCCGCCGTCGGGAATCCAGCGGTGGAGGAGGAGGATGATTGCAGAGGAGATCTGACGACTCACGATGCTGCGCCGGCGGAGGCAGGGATTGCGAGTCGGTTCGGGGAGAAGAATCGAGCTGTGGAGGTGGCGATTGCGGCGGCGGCGACGGTGGTGCTAGGGGTGGGGAATCGGGTGTTGTATAAGCTGGCCCTCGTTCCTCTCAAGCATTATCCCTTCTTTCTCGCGCAGCTCGCCACCGTCGGGTAATTTTACTAATTACTCCTCCGCTCCCTTTCCGTTATTTTTGATCGCTTCGATTGGCATTCTGGCGCAACGCTTTTTTTGTTTACCCTGTTTTCCAATCCTCTCTATAGTCCCTTTCCACCGAATTGAGTATTTAACTATTAGTTTAGCATTTCATTTAATCAACTGATTATTAATTAATTGTAATTAATCTGGAAATAGTAAATGCTAAATAAAGTAAGGGAGGCCAGGGATGACGCTAATTTAACTAATGTCGAATTAAATCTCGAATTTAGATTTTCTCCTTGTTCACAGCATAAACATATAAACCTGATTTGCTAGGCAATATTGAATTAGATTACATATCATGGCAGTAGGGATGGCAAAAATATCCGTAACCGTGGATATCCGCCCGAATCCGGACTAATCGGATAGGGTAAAACCCGAATCCGAAGGACATTTAGTGGGTACGGGTAAAATCCGAACCCGAATATTGCGGGTAATGGGTGGGCATGGGTTTCTCACTATCCAACCCGAACCCGCCCGATTATACACATGCATATGTATTTTGTCTAGAAATTATCATTATTTTTCTCTAACATATTTTATATTTAGCATATAAATATAATATTTTCATGAAATTGTGTAGTTTTAATTAAATTTCTTCACCCTAGTGAATCATTATCATACTTTTCCTCTTACGTAATGTGAGAATACGTGTGAATGTTAACATATTGGTTGGAGTTATGAAGATAAATTATTACCCATGGATAACCATGGATACCCGAAACCCGAACGGGTATGGGCATGGTTTTGATTTTCTACCCGTTTTGTATGTGGGTATGGGTATGGGTAAAACCCGAACTACTATGGGTAGGGTAACGGATATGCACTATCCGCGCCCAACCCGACCCATTGCCATCCCTACATGGCAGCAATGTGGTCCCACGGTCCCGTTCAATGATCGAATGTTCGAATCTCAATGACTCTTTGTAAAAACGCCATTTACTCCTCTTTATAGTATAGTGTTAAAGTTAAATCAACCGTGTATCGTTGTATAGCATTGATTTGGTAATTCGCTATAAATCGTAGATTCAAATTATTACGTTGTTTTGGGGAAAATTGGACATGTCCTATTCGTTTCACATCTCACAGAAGCGTGTCTACTTAGCTACCACTTCTCATCACCAAAAACAGACGGAACTAATAATATCTTGCCTTCCAATGTTTTTATTTTTGGCCTAGTAAATGACTATTGTGTTAGAAACCGAATTATCTAGGGTTTCTATATTTATTATTTTCATTATTATTAGGGTAAGTCTTATTAAGGTTAGTAGTCATTTAATAGAATTAGGTTTAGTGTTAGGGTTTTCCAGTCTTTCGTTATAAATATGTACTTTGCGTTTTAGTCAGAATCAGTCAAGAAAGAATTATCAAGAATCTCCTAAACCCTAATCTCCCTATCTTCCCAATTCTCGATCTCAATCCCTCTAAAGGCCTAGGCCGATTCTCTTCTGTTCTTCCCCAAATCTTCCCCAACTCTCTTCTCAAATCCCTAAATCCCCAATTCTGTTCTACAACCCTAAAATCCCAATCCCCAGATCTGATCTGGAGACCCGTTAGAAACTTTGTTTCTAACATCTGGTATCAGAGCCCGGTTCGAGAATTGAGTTCGCTGCAACTCTCAACCGGGGACGAGTTCTACAACTGGTTCGACGATGAGCTCTTCAAAGCTCTCGAACCTGTCGTGGACAGAGCTGCGTGACCGGGCTCGCCGCATCGGACGCCGTTGGAGCTCCGAAGAGTCGCCGACCATGCAAGCAGAGACGGTGACCCGAATCGCCGACGACGAGCGACCACCAATGTCCGCCGAGACCGACGAAGCGGTGGAAGTCACCGTCGAAGGGAGCGACACGGAACCGGTGATGGAGGAGGAGGCTATGGACGGAGACATGACAGAGGAGCAGCAGCTACCGGTCCGACCTGTGATGGCGGACGACGAGCAAGAGCCGACGACCGAGGAGGAAGCTGCAGATGTTGAAGCAGCAGGGGAGGCGACGACAGCGACGTCGTTGGCCCGAACGGCATCAGTTGTCTTCCCTGCATCAAAACCACCATCGCTGGGCCCGGTTTTAGGCGGCCTTGTTGAACTTCCCAAGCCTCCTAGAACGCCATCGCCTGCGGAAAGGAAGGGAACAGATTCAATTGACAAGCGCTCATCTCCAGAAGTATCTTTCGACCCAGGAGGAACAAGCTTCAACCCCATAGCTGTGGGCGAGGATATTCGCGAACCTGAACCCGACGGCTTCGTTGGGTTCGAGAGAGACAGAGAAGCCGACTCAGAGCTGGAGCAGAAAGAGGCGAGATGGTGTGTGATCTTTCGGGACGAGAATGTCACCGCGTACGATGCTACACCACCGCTTTGCGCCTCGGCGGCCGAGATTCCGGTTAAGAGAAGCTTGGAAACCTGTTCGGAGATGTCAGATCTCCGCGTCAACGACGATCGAGGACCCGGGGCGGAGCTGGGGACCGGTGCGAAGGGTCTTGGGGAGCGATTGAAGATGATCTCGATGGTGGTTCCAATTGTGATGGCGAAGACTCCGTTCGAGCGATTGGAGACGGTTTCGCCTCGCGGGGAGCCGCGGTCGGGGACGAACTCGGGGGAGGAGCCCGGAGCCGGAATTGACAGGGTAAGCAACGCAGAGGTGCCGGAGCGTCGAATCGGGCGCGGAAAGCGGCGATTGGCGGTGGGTTCTGTTGCGGCGCCGAGTGGAGGTAAAGTGAAGTCGGGGGTGGATCTAGAGGACTCGCCGAGGGAGTTGGAGGCTAGGAAGGCATCGAGCTCGCCTCTGGAGGAGGCGAAGAGGAATGAGGAAGGTGGCGGCGATGACTCTTCCTTCATCGGGTCGGTGGACGGGCAGGCGCACACGCCGGCGGGAGTCGTGGAGACGGCGAGGGCGAAGTCGAGAGAGATGGAGTCAGGCTGGCCTCCTAACCGCCGGGTGGGGGATTCCTCTGGTGAGCTTACGGCCGACGACGTGATAAGGTCCGGGACGTCGAGCAGGCCGACGATGCATGCGACCGGCGAAGGAGAACCTACTCTGGTGGTTCGAACGGAGACGAGGGAGCCGGCGGTGTGGACCATCGAGGTAGCAACATCGGAAGCCGGCGAGATTTTCCACGGGAGAAGCTTTTCTTCGCCGAGAAAGACTTCGGCGGAGGGGTGGTCGATGAATGAGGGCGGCGGCGGCGCTGTCCCTCTAGCAAACCCTAGGTCGTTCACCCTGACCTGCTCAGTACAACATGGCCAAGCTCGGTTGGGCCAGGAGAGTGGGGTTGGGGGTCTAGACGGGCCGGAGATGGTGGGCCGAGTTGGTCCGGGATGCGGCCTGGTAGAAAAGAGGAAGCTGGCTGGGTTTGCCTTCGACCAGCAAAGCGGGCCGGAGTCCGCGAGCCGAGCGGATCTGCAAGAGGGGTTGTTGTTGGGCCGAGTTGGGGTTCAGGTCGTTGGGCTCAATGAGTCGCCTAATGGGCCGAAGCCAGGAGGAGTTTGGGCTGAGACAAGGTTTGATGGTGAGTTGGAGGAGAAGGAAGTCAGCTGGTTGCAAGGTTATTGTGGGCTAGGTTTCATGAGAGTGCTTGGGCCTTCATTGGGCCGTTGGATTTGCTCTCTATTGAATGGAGAGAGCTTGGAAGAAAAGAAAGATGAAGATGAATTGGGCTTAGCCAGTGGATTTTTCAGGGAGTCAGGTCCAAACGGAAATAAGGAAGAGAAGAACGATGGATTCACGGGCTTTGATGCAGGGCTTAAGGAAGAGCAGCTCTTTGATTTTTATATTGTGGAGTTTGAAAAGGATGATGGAGAGATATTTGATCATGGTTGCAACTTGCGTCACGTGGATTGGAAAGAGGCCATTGGAGTCGGAGTCGAAGTTGCTGGCATGAGATTCGTTCAAGTAGTGGAGCCGGATTGGAAGAAAAGGAAGCGCACAACGCGGAGCAAGCGATGCATTGATCACACGAGGAGGTTGAAGGAGCGGGTCAAGTCAATCAACCTTGAGGGCAAGGTTGGTCTGAAGGGGGAGGAGATGTTAGAAACCGAATTATCTAGGGTTTCTATATTTATTATTTTCATTATTATTAGGGTAAGTCTTATTAAGGTTAGTAGTCATTTAATAGAATTAGGTTTAGTGTTAGGGTTTTCCAGTCTTTCGTTATAAATATGTACTTTGCGTTTTAGTCAGAATCAGTCAAGAAAGAATTATCAAGAATCTCCTAAACCCTAATCTCCCTATCTTCCCAATTCTCGATCTCAATCCCTCTAAAGGCCTAGGCCGATTCTCTTCTGTTCTTCTCAAATCCCTAAATCCCCAATTCTGTTCTACAACCCTAAAATCCCAATCCCCAGATCTGATCTGGAGACCCGTTAGAAACTTTGTTTCTAACATATTGTGATGGCGCAACTTTACACTAGCATCTGAAATTATCTCATTGACCCGTTTCTTATTGTGGTTTCGTGTGTTGGTGCATCAAAATGAGACTGTCCTGTTTGGGAGATTTTAAAGCAGATTCCATTTACAGTCGTGATTCCTTCAAATGCCTCGTGCTTTCCAAACGTATGATCATAAGCATTTGCATTAGCACTAGAAGAATTTTCTATTGTTATCTCATTGCAAAAGTTATGAGTGGACGAGAGTCGAATTAGGAAAGTTTGGGCATCTTTCTAAGCCATGATTACAGATTAATAGAAATAGGAATGGGATGGATGGACAATAGAGCAAAAGGAAAAAGGGGACTCGAGGTGCTTTCTAATTTGGTGGGTCTAGTCCTAATTGCTGCCTCACAAGAACAAGTTGAACACTCTTCAGTCTTCAGCTCTGGCACATGGGGTCTCCATTACGCCCGCAAAAGTGAAAAGGAGGAACAAGGAAAGAGAGACCATTGCCGAGTAGAACTGTAGTGGTGGGTGATAATTTGATCGGTTCCTTTGTTTTCTACGAATTTTGTAATTACTTAAAAAGATCACTACTTTAATAGCTCTCTGTCGCAAGAAAATAAAAATATCATGCAGGGTGCAAGTGGAGCTTCTGGCTTTGAATGTGTAGGTCACATGTCCGGACAAATTTTAATTGTTTTTTGGTTCTGGTCAGTTGATCCACCAAGCGGCTTTTACAAATGCATTGCAGGGTCCTCTGTTTAGACATTAGATCTTTTTTCTCTCTTTTTGATGACCCCATGGGTGTATTATAATAAGCTACTAAAGCTGGAAGTATCTGATGCAAAGTCTTGTTTTAGTTACCTTGTTTTCTTATTAAGCTCACTCATGTGTCGACACCATCAGCAAATGCGACAAAGAAGAGAGAATGCACAAAAATGCCACTCTTTGTCAAGATTGCATCCTGTTGAATATTTTTTGAACTTCCACCTGGTTAACTTGAAGTTTCAGGATCTTAATTCTGATACTGTCTTTGTCTTCATAATGTATGAATGTTGTGGGATACTTATATAGTACTGCCTGCTGGGAATGCTTTTATGGGCTTTGATGCTGGATAAAATTGGAATTTGATGACATTTTAGGAGAAGTCCTTTATAAAAATATAACAGTAAGTGTGGTAACATGCTACTATTCAAACTTGGAACACCGTATTCTTGGTGGAATTCGGATTGTCACTTTGACTGAAAAATATTGTTTTTGGAACCTCAGGTATGTCCTTGTGTATTTTACCATATTGCATTTCCGGCACCGTGCTGGCATTGTGAGCAATGAGATGCTTTCGTTGCCTAAAGGTCCATTCATTCTTGTTGGAATCTTGGAGGCTCTTGGAGCTGCTACTGGAATGGCAGCAGCAGGTAAACATATCTTCTGTTATTTCTCATTGACTGTTGTATTATTGCTTCCTTGCGGGTTAAACATGAACTCTTTGATGGTCAATTTGAAATGCTTCATCATCCACATTGCTCAGTAGCCTGTGTAACCCAATTGATGTATGTTTATCTCATGATCACTTGGCCAATTGACTATCAGACTTGTCTTTTCAGCTTGGGAATATTTTTGCATAATTACAATATAGCATGTTCCTTCTATTGTACTGAATGAGGAATCTTTATGTCTTCTGTTGTCTTTTCCTTTTCATGTTTTCTTGACTTGTGGGTATTGAGCTTTAGTGGTAATCTGGTGCATAAAAGGTTCCATTCAGTATTACATTTTCTTTAGGTCGTTACCATAGCAATCTAGAGTGGAAGACATTAAGGTTGTTATTTTTTAGTGTTAATTCGTTGACTTCTTTCTTGAATCAGCAAACCTTTCTGGAGCATCGATTCCAGTTATATCTCAGGTACATAATATTTTCAGCTTTGAGGATTAAGTGTTTGAAGTCCTTGTAGGTCTTGTTTCTACCTTTGTTGTTCTCGATACATTCATATTCCTGTTTGAAGATTAAGAGTTCTTAAAGTGCCAAGTATCTAACCTTGCTTAGAAGTGTCTAAGATGGTGCTTTCAAATAATAGAACCAGAGTTAGCAGTAGGAAGCTGAAAAAGTGAGATAATAACAAGAAAGAAATCATTATTAATTATCATTCTGATTCCTTGGATAGTCAAGCAAAAGGAGGCAGCTTGTGCTAATGCAGGGTTCACTCATTTCTCAGCCTGTGGTTAACTTCTTTGTCTCTCTGATGATGAAAATTGTAAAATTCATCGAATTTAGCTTTCAATATATGTAGTGAAGTAAAGTCATCTGCAATCTGCTCCTTCTGCAATTGTTTTTGGTCATAGAACAATGTGTTTCTCTTTTTGACAGTGAAAGAACAAAGAGTTCTACGGAGAAAACTCCCTTGCTTGTGAAATTTGTTTTGGTTTCCGGTAACATTACAGCATTGGGAAGATTGGATACTAATCTCAATCTTCTAAGTAGAAGTGTTATCAAAAGTCTACTGGCGATTCTGACGATTACTTGTTCTGCAGACCTTCCTTGTGTGGCAGATTTTTATGTCAGCTGTCTTCCTTGGAAAGAGATACAAAATCAATCAATTACTAGGGTGTTTCCTTGTTGCTATTGGTGTCATTATAACTGTAGCCAGGTACCTTTTCTTAAACTTATATCTTATGAAGTAGTCAATTATGCTCTCGGGTATAGACCTCTACCAATAAAACAGTCTTAAAAATGATAAGGACTCGGAATGCTTGTATGTTAAAATGGTGGTGAACAATTGCAGTTTTCTTCATGTTGCAGTGGATCTAGTGCTGGCCATTCGTTGAAAGAAGCCGGTATTTTTTGGAGTCTTTTAATGATACTCTCGTTTCTGTTCCAAGCTGCCGATACTGTACTCAAGGTTCGTGTTAACTATTCCTTTGACTTTTAGCATAACCACTAACCTTGTTACTGTTTGTCTAATGGGAGTAACTCTTATTTGCAGGAAACTATTTTCCTGAAAGCTAAACATCGTTTAAAGGTACAAATCCCTCAAACTGACTGTAGCCTCATACATGTATTGATACAATCGTTGCATTTAACATTATTACATTGTTTGGTTGTTGAGTTTATAGGTTAGTGATTAACATTCCATAGAAAATTCAATCTTTACTTTTGGCCACCTCTCTTCGGAAGGTCATTCTAATCATTCAAACGGTTTGCTAATGCTGACGCCTGAAAATCACAGGGAGGATCAGTAGATATTTTCGTGGTCAACTCCTTTGGATCTGCTTACCAAGTGGGTATTCTAATATGGGTTTCAATTGTTAACCCCTGTGATTAAGTTACTGTACGTATTTATGATATGCATAAAGTTTCTTACTTGATCTTTTGGAATGCTGTCGCTTGCAGGCTTTTTTCATCTGCCTACTTGTGCCTTTCATGTCCAAGCTATGGGGAATACCGTTCAGCCAGCTTCCGAGCTATCTCAAAGATGGGGCAGCTTGCTTTCTAAACATCGGTAGTTTGTCAAGTGGTAAGCTATATGACTAAAAACAAATTCCCACCTTCATGGTTTTTGAGTTTGTACTTTCAGTAATTTCTGATCAAATATTCGGATTATTGACGCGCTCCCAGGATGTGAAGGGGCACCATTGCTACCTCTGCTGTTCATAATCGTGAACATGGGGTTCAACATATCGTTGCTCCACCTGCTCAAGATATCATCCGCTGTTGTATCTTCACTTGCTTCCACATTTTCTGGTAAGGGGAAATTTATTCACCTACATTTCATTTCTGCGTTCACTCGATTACTTGGATCTCACGCTTTCTGATGACGATCAATCTTCTTATGGGTAGTGCCGATATCGGTGTTCATGTTCACGCTGCCATTGCCATATATCGGAGTGGCATCAACCCTGCCAAAGGGCTTTGTTGGGGGAGCCATCATCCTTGTTCTAGGCTTGCTCATCTATGCTTGGACGCCAAAGCCTCGTCCAGCCGGTCATTCTTCCTCGCCAGCAGCAGCTTCCTCTCCTAGCTAAGCTGTAAGAACTGTATATCATTCTTTGTTTCTTTTATGTTGATAGCCGTGGCTCTTCCCAATTTGATACTTCAACATCAGAAATAAAGGGAGGAGGCAAGAGGGCTAGACATATACGAGGGGGGAAAATGGAGAAGCAGAAAGAAAATGCTGTTAGGAAGGACTAGTTGAGTACTGTAATTCCATCTTGTAACAATGTCGCTGTAACTGTCGTTTCGGTGCTGATGCAGAGTACAAAATTCGATTTCGAATATGTCGATCGGGCTTGAACATTGTAGATACAGGGGTTTCGAAAGTTCTGTACCTCTGAGAGCAAACAAGTTCTTGGTCTTTGGTTGAATGATCTTGGCTGAAGCCTCTTAGATCCATAACAGCTCGCGAGTTGCGATTGTCAGAACTGGTCGTTGGTTTCATTAGTCAGCTGAAGTCAACAGTGTGTGCATGCTTTAGCTGTAATGGGCTTGCGACGGATGGAGAGGTCATGGGCTCTTTGCATGGGTCGGTGCATTGGGGTAATCGGGCTTGGGCTTGGGCTTCCGTCTTTAGCAGGGTGCTGTATGTTTGAGACTTTCTGCTTTGTGGAGGAACGTTTGCTGAGGTGGAAGTAACAATGTCTTTTTCTTCATGTATCCTTGTGTTGGTCTTTGGATAGGCATTTGGAGTTGGCTCGTTTTTAGAGTGAAACATGATGAAAGATGTATATGTTGGATTTTTTGAAAGTTCATTTGTTTCTTGAAAGTTACTTTGTTTGAGTAAATTAGAAGGGGCATTGGACTTTACACTGTTTGAGGATTTTAATCAGGTCCTTTTTTTAATTATGTTGTGCAGAACTCTCTGCATCTACTTTCAATGTATTGCTTAATGGTATGCATTAGTAGTTTGCTGTAGTTGTAGTATTGTAACTGTTTGAGCTTAGAAAGTACTAGGTGGTTTGTGTGGAACACGAGTGACGTGTCTGTTCTTGGTGAGAGAATGCATTCATGGACCCTGCGAAACAAAGGCCCGTGGGCGGTTGCCCAGAACACTCTCCGAAAATTAAGTTAGATTAATAAGAGAGAATATGTGTTAGGTTTAGAGAGAGAGTAGTTGAGTTTACCATGAATGCTCTCATACGGTGGCAATTAATGCTTGGCATTGTTTATATGGAGTCAGATTTTAGTCGATCTCCTCCCTGTCTCAATCATTGTTTTATGTCAGGCGGTCCTCCTGTCTTGTCTCCAGGCGACTGCCTAACCTCTTTAACTGCATATCGGTCTCCTTATTGGGTTGGGCCTGCTGGTCTTCCTCCTTGGGCTTCATGCCCGATACTGCTCTTACACGTGGGCCCATCAATTGTCCCTTAGGCGGGAAATCTTTGGGCTTTGACGACTATGACTGTATTTCTATCGTGTCGAGCAGTCATTCCTCCAATTAAACGTTGCCCTATACTTTGCCCCTTGCCGCTTGAGAGACTAAGATGACCAGTCAAGGAAACTAAACTGTCCTACTTGACTTCAACCGCCTACTAACTAGGCTTTTCTTTTTCCCTTCATCGTCCATGTGGCGAGTTTTGAATTTCGAGCCTTGACAACGGGCACTATGGCCGTCTTTTCAACTGCCCGTTTTTTGAATTAGTAGAGTAGGGTTTTTCTCGGTCACCGAACCGTCACATCGTCGTTGCCCTGCTTTTTCGCTTCTATTTAAACGAGGCGATTGCTCGTCTTCTTCACTTTTACCTTCCCTTCTCCTGCTCTGAAGTTTTTCTAACCCGAAGCAAAGATTGCTCACTGCTCCTGATTTTTCCTTTCTTCTTACCTTCAAAGTCATCTGCTTCTTTCTAGGAAGCGAGCCACATATCTTTCGGAGTTACGATGAGCTCAAAAGCGAGCGAAAAGGAAGAGGCGAATGGCATAAAAGGAGATTGATTCTCAGGCCACTACTCCCTCCGATAGCCAGAACAAGAATTTATCGAGCGATGCTCATACCCAATGTAGTCAAAATCACGCTTTAAAACTTAAAAACTTACGGTTTTACGCTTCTAGGTCATCAAAACGTTTTCGTTTCTATGTAAAAACTGTAGTGTACAAAATCATACTAAATTGCGCTTTAAAACTTAAAAGTTTACGCTTTTACGCTTCTAGTTCACTAAAGCGCTTTACATTTTTACGCTTTTACTTCACTGAATGTGTATTCTTTTCATGAAATTAATTATAAAAAGTATATTTTAAAAATAAATCACCGACAATATGATACGTTTAAGATTAAAAGATGCATACCAGATACTTTGATGTATTCTGAACTTCAATAAAGTAATCTAATTTATCGTCTAGTCTTTTCTCAAATTCATTAGCATGAAGGGGAAGGTGGCTTCTTGATAAGATTTATGTTTAGGAACTTATTATTAAGAGGCTATAAGTTGCTCTACTTTAGACATGAATTGCAAGTATTTATTAACTTATCTAAATTTTGTGCACTCATATTTTTCATAGTATATGTCGTACTTAACATATTTTTAGTTCTTTTACAGTATGCGTCAAAAACTTACGCTTTTACGCTTTACGATTTTACCCCTTTTCCGCTTCTAGGTAGAATCGCGCTTTTAACTGCATTGCTCATACCGGCACCATTTTCACCAATGCCCGGACTTCCATCGATGGTACGACTCCCCCTTGCTCGTCCTCTAAAACTGGCGGTGGATCTAGCGGCCCTACTATAGGGGCTAAACTAGCCGCCCAAGGGGCTAAACTCTGCTCTTGACTCTCCACCTACCATTTTTGTGGGGCCGCCCATAGCACCTTTCCAGACGATTGCTGACGATACATATCGCGTGCGCTTGCACGCGGATATGTGGGAGGGAGAAAAAATACCCGCACATGTTTTCAAACAAGGACCACCGTATTTAGCTACTTACCGGCCATCTGAAGTTCTTCGTCAATTTAAGAATCACGGTCTGCCCCCAGAGTGGGATTATGCAACTCCTCTTGACGGGCGATCCGGTTCTTATTCAAGCGGTTGGATTCCCATCCATGTGGAGCATATCAGGGTGAGTCTTCAATTCCCCCTTGGTCCTATACTGACCCAAACTCTTCTGCACCTCAAGTGTACACTTGGACGTCTTTCTCCCGGAATCATTTTTCACTTCATAACTTTTCGCGCGGCCTGTAAAATATTGGGGGTAGAGCCTTCATTTTATGCTTTCCAGTTCTTGTATACCATGCGCGGCTTAGACAACTGTTGGTCGTGCTACAGGTGGGAGTCTCGCGTGAGATTTGTCTATGCCTCACCCAAGTTAGATTCTCATTGGTTTAAAGAGTATTTCTTTGCTCGTCCCGCTGGGAGATGGTACTCTAGTGACGTAGAGCCGTCGACTGGGTTCGCGGTTGGCGATAAAGGGGATTAGAACACCAAACTTGATTCTCTTGCCCCCTTTAAAGACCTTCTCTAACGAATAATGTCAACTGTTCAATTTTTCGTCTTCCTCCTAAAGGGCATGATAACGCGCTGGATATAGTTCGGCGCTTTCACAATCAGTTAATTCATCCTTGGTTATTTCGAAGTTCTCTCATGCTTTTACTTATAAGTTGCTTTCGCAGGAACTCGACGGTATGCAAATATGGCGAGACCGTCGAAGCCAGGCACCGGGTCCTCTGTGGTCGTAGCTGCTATGCTTCCTGTCAACCCAACAAAGACTCGGGCCACTGCTCCCCTACCTTCTGCTCAGACATAGCTTGTTGCGAGTCGCTCCGAGGAGCTCAAGTTTGCTGAGGTGGGTTCCAACCACGCGTCTGGGAAGCGGTCACTGGAGATTGCGGCTCTTATCGACAATCGGTCTTCGAGAAGTCAATCAATGATGAAAGGCGTCCTTGTTGACAACACTCCTTCAGATCCCCTTGTTGCATACACGAACAAAAACAAGTAGAAGATGACGGAGCTTGCAGCGACTGTGGCATTTTCTCCCAACGCAACCGTATCCCATGATGCGACCAAACACGCTTTGCATGTCATTTCGGATGAGTTTACGGTCCCCAGTGATTACAGATGGATTGCGGGTACTCACGTCCACAAGTCTGACACCAGACACTTGGCCGGCGCAACCGTGCGTTGCCTGTTTGCGGTAAGCATGATTTTTATAATGTGAGTACCTGGTGGTTATTTTTCTCTAGCTTGGATATTTTTACATACTCAATTTGGGATAAACCAACTGATGTTGCACAACG